CTCCTTCCTGAGCCAAGACAAAAATGTGTGAGCCAGAGGCTAAAACCCTGTGAGGTAGCTCACACTAACTCAGCTTAGAGGGAACATTCGGCTCCACCCCCAAATCTCCAAGAGTTTCCCAACCTGGATTTGGCAATCCTACCCCCATCCCTGCTAGTAGCCAAGGGGGACCTGGCAACCTTCTCTCTTGCTCTCTCCATACCCTTTTCACCAGGGGCCAGCTCTGACGCTTCCCTCAGAGCATGGCAAAATTAAATGCAAGCTTGTCTGCTTTCCCTAAGGAAATGTTTTTTGTGAGTTGTCCCTGCTGTCCCACTAATGTTGGAGGCAACAGCTATTCACACTTCATCCTGTGTGATGTCAGGTGGGAAAACTGTGTTGAAAAGACTTCATTGGAAAACTCCCATCTACCATGAGGAAGTGGTGCAACCTGTATAATTGTCACCTTTCCCTGAAAGACGGCTTCCGTTTTTCTTCTGAATTCACAAGTTCACTGAGCAGTTGAGTCACATGGACTGCGCTTTCACTTTCTGATTCACGAGAGCCGGAGGGTGCACCTTACACGGCTCGTCGGGGCTGAGATCCCCACGAAGCTACAAAAGGCACTGGGCAGCCTTCCGCCAGTCACCACCTTCTCCTCTGTCCGTTTTCGAAAGTGGGAGGGCCTTCTCAGTCCGGAGGTTCTCCTCTGTGATAAGAGAGCAAAAGGAGGCTGGGCCAGTCGGTTACCTAGGGAATAGGCTCAGTTTGATCCAGTTTGGTGTCGTGGTTAAGGGCGCGGACTCTAATCTGGGAGAACCGGGTTTGATTCCCCACTCCTCCACTTGCAGCTGCTGGATGACCTTGGGCAAGCCATATTTCTGGCACAGCTGTTCTTGAAAAAGCAGTTTCTGTCGGATCTCTCTCAATCCCACCCACCTCACAGGGTGTCTGTTGTGGGGAGGGGAAGGGAAAGGAGTTTGTAAGCCGCTCTGAGACACCTTTGGGCAGTGAAGGGCGGGGTATAAATCCAATCTCTTCTCTCTTCTTCTTCTTCAAATAACATTTTAAAACCCGTCTGAAATAAAATGTGGAAAGACCCACCAAGCAGATATTCCTTCCTGGCACTCGTTCTGTTTTACAGGTTGCCTTACAGATGTCCCTTTTCGGGGTGTTTTCTACTTGGGGGTGAGTTTGTGTCACTTCCCCATTGCTGCCGCAGCTGCCAGTAAAACACAGCCACAAGGGGGCTTCCCACAGGGCAGGTGTCGCCGTATATGCCCCGCCCTAATCCCCGGACATCAGCCTCCCTTGTCACAAGAAGGCCTTAAAAAAAAATAATTGGCCATTGACATACTGGGGGAAGGCATATCTCCACAACAAAAAGGACTTGTGTGTGTGTGTGTGTGTGTGTTTAAATTAAAGGTGGTAATTCAGAGTATGCAAAGATTGTTAAGATGTAATGATAAGCCAACTGCCTTGGGGGGGAAAGGAAAAAGAGCAAAGCCCACTGTGGTAGGGCAGGGACGGAGGCATTGTCGAGGACGGGAGCGAAATGCCCTGTGAGGAGGACCAGGAAGATGCAGACTTTCCCGTCCATATAGGGGCCTGCCTGGCTTTGCTGCAATCTTTCCGAAATCATCACAGCAAAGTAGGTTTGGGAAAGATCACAGGAAGGACAGGGGAAGACCTCGAAGTGTACAGAAGCACCACCGTGCTGTGGAGTGGCGGCCTTGCTTCTCCACGGCGTTCAAGCTGAGGGGATGTCCAGGGGAATGGGGCACAGTTAACTGGATTTTGGATCATATTACTGCTAATTACTGTGGCCACCCAATGAGAAGGGAGCACTCACTGGAGAAGACCCTGATGCTGGGAAAGATTGAAAGTCAAAGAAGACAGGGACGGCAAAGGATGAGACGGTTAGACAGTGTCGTCGAAGCAACGAACATGAAAGTGAGCCAACTCCAGAGCACGACGGAAGACAGGAAGGCCTGGCGTGATCTGGTCCGTGGGGTCAAGAAGAGTCGGACTCAACTGTGCGACTGAACAACAACAACAACAACTGTTAACTGGATTTAACGGTTAACTGGATTTAACGGTTAACAGTTAACTGGATTTTGGATCATATAATTGCAGAGGGCACAGGAGTCAACAGGTAGTATGATGCTGACAACAGATTGCGGCATAGTATCATTTGCACCCTCTAGAGGTGGAGAAGCCACATTACTTTTTGGTTGCTTTAAAAAAAAAACACCTTGACTCTTCTGGAGCCAATTTATCAGGGATGCACTGACTTTAGCTGTTGTTCATCAAGCAGTCTTCTTTGAAGGCACACATACGACTGCACAGGCCGGCCACGAAAAGGGGATTGTATATTCTGCACCGAAGGCATGACGATGAAGAGAGAAGAAGAGATTGGATTTATACCCCGCCCTTCACTTGGAGTCTCAGAGCGGCTTAAAAACTCCTCTCCCTTCCCCTCCCCACAACAGACACCCTGTGAGGTGGGGGGGGGGGGCTGAGAGAACTCTGACACAAACTGCTCTTTTTCAAGGACAGCTGTGCCAGAGCTTGTGACTGACCCAAGGTCACATCAGCAGGTGCAAGTGGAGGAGTGGGGAATCAAACCCGGTCCTCCCAGATTAGAGTCCGCACACTTAACCACTAGACCAAACTGAACACTGTAGCTCCTTCTCAGCCCGTGCACATTTGCTCAGAAGCAAGTCTCATCCCTCTTAATGAGATTTACCGATTAAGTACGCACACCATCTCTGACAATATTAGTGGAGCAGCAATCTATGAATATTTTTAAATAGACAGCGTAACTGCTTTCTTCACCTTCAGTGTTTTCTTGATAGATTGTTTCTTTGCTTATTACCCGCTTCTCCAGGCTGGTGTGATGTCCTGGCTATCGTGCCGGGCCAGGATCATCTGGGAGAACTGGGTTCACGTCCCCAGCCTCCCATATAAGGTTTCCAGGTGACCGAGGCCTATTGCATACACTCGGCTTCTCCACATAGTTCTTGTCGCTGCTGCGTATGCAAGCCCATTCACATGGGTGATGAAGCATCCGCACACAGCAGTTTTTCTGACACTTTCCTTTCTCCAGCCCCACTCATGGCTGCCATTCCCTCCCCCTTGTGAGAGCCCGTTTGGTGTAGTGGTTAAGTGCGCGGACTCTAATCTGGGAGAACCGGGTTTGATTCCCCACTCCTCCACTTGCACCTGACTGGATGACCTTGGGGGCAAGCCGTAGTTCTGATCAGAGCTGTTCTGGGAAAAGAGCAGTTTCTGTCAGGAGCTCTCTCAGCCCCACCTACCTCACAGGGTGTCTGTTGTGGGGAGGGGAAGGGAAAGGAGTTTGTAAGCCGCTCTGAGACACCTTTGGGTAGTGAAGGGCGGGGTATAAATCCAATCTCTTCTTCCTGTGCCGCTGGAAGGCTTTTGCATGATTTAAAAAAATATCAGCAATTTCTAGATTGTGGCAATAGGTTGCTATAGCACCATAATCTACGTTAACATACATTCCCAATCTAGCACTTCTTGCTGTAGGCATAAAAGGGGAAAGGTGCATCTCTGCAATGAAAAAAAATGCTTTAAAAAGGGAAAGCAGGGAATCCCAGAGATTGTTATAAGACTTGCAATGTAGCAATGACTTCTTTCTTTAAAAATAAATAAAAGGTCAAAAATAGCTCTCTGGGACCTTAGCTGGAATAATGGCATGGATGTGGATGGGAACTTGGATAATGCACATCTCGCTGTCTCTCAGACCACCAGATAATGTGTTTGGAACATAGTCTTCCTGAAAAGACTGAGAAGAGCAGGTTTGGAAAAAGTATACTAAAGACTCGGAAAGAACAGTAAGGCCATGATTAGATCACAACACTGCGGGGATGCTCGAGGGGAAATAAAGCACTGCAGTTTGATACCCAAAGCAGAAGTAAATCTCCATGTGGAGGGGGGGGGGGTCAATATAAAGCAGCATGGACAAAGCAGTTCTATGAAGTCAAGAAAAAACCTTGCTTTTAGTCAAGAACCATGGTCAGTCACTTGCTCGAAAATCAGCAGGACAGAAGACCCATGAATGTTCCAGGCGAGTCCTCAATTGTCTCAATAAAATCACTGCAAAGTATCAGAGACAAAAATAGAGCTGGAGGATTCTCAGCTGTGAAAACAGAAGCAGGATGAGGAGGGCTTGGGACAGGGAGAAGGAAGGTGCTGGGTTCTCTCACAGCCACCCATCCCCATCTTCATCCACTGTGGCCTTAAGAGTCTTGGGCACACAGTTCTCCAAACCAAGCATGGCTGCAGCCCTCAAATGGCTTGTTGCGTTTTTGCTTGGGAAAGACTCGCTAATTTTCAGGCCTACTTCTCTACGAGTGCTTCTCCATACAGAAAAATCCCTCCATATGCAAAACTAGACAGATAGGGTGTAACAGAAAGGATCACTTTTTTGGTATGGATAGCCATTCAGTCAAACGATCTTCCACTAGACATTTGAAGTGGTAAACCCAGAAGATTACGCCTTAAATGATCAACAAATATTAATTGGTGCAGTGCGACAGTGTTTGAAGGAGTTCACCTGCATCATCTCATAACCCTTACGACAGCACTGCAAGGTAGGCCAATCTTATCCTCATACTGCAGCTGAGGGGTCCAGCACACACCTGGCTTCAGGTGACATTTGAACCTGGGACCTCTCTGAAGAAAGATCATTTCGTACCTGCGATGCAATTTCAGCTGAAAAGTTAAGCCGCTCATAATTTCCTAAGTTTTTTTACTTTATATTTCAGTCATTTCTTTCAAGAGATGGATGCAAAATTTTAGTTTTGGTTCATTTTCTCTCAGTTTTGTCAAGTGCCCCTTTAAAACAAAAGCACGGGATCATAAATATCTTTATTAAACTGGATTTTATTTGAAATCCTTCACATAAAAATTCTGCACCCTAACAGCAAAGTATTACAAAAAAGATAGGAAAACAGAGTAGAGCTTTATACACTTTTTTCTTTTCTTTTCTTAAAAAAAAAAAAAACCTTTTAAAAATAAGAGTCCATCAGCGTATTGGCCATTTCTTTATATGACATGGCAAATCGGAGGTACGATGTCGATTTTTAGTATTTATACTTTGATACTAGAGCTATCATCATCTGCTGACTGTTCAGCAGGTGAGAGAACAGCCTCCTCCTTCCTTTGAAACAGGGCGCGGGGGGAATCACTAATTTTCCCCCTCCACACCAACATTCCTGACCAGTCTTGGCCACCTGCATGGAAAGTTGTTAACATATGACCTGGGCTCACAGATGGCAGCAATTTGTTGAACTTACGTTGCCAGCAAAAGTCCTGTGGCAACAACTGGAAATTGCTGCTAGCCATAGATGCTCTGTTTTACATGTTGCACTAGTCCATGCAAAGTGTGGAGGGCAATATGTATTTTGTGCATTAGTCTGTAACGCTTGAGCACAGCGTAGGACAGAGTTTATGCAGTGTTCCGGTATTTGGTGTGTTGCACTCTGTCCATCTGTCCAGGAAGAGAGATTAGGCAGTGTTCTAGGAAGCCTGAACTGCACACTTTAGCTTATAGGATTACTTTCCAGTAACACGCCGATGGCCACTGAGTGACACTGGAAATCTCTCATTTCTCTAGGCACTTTCTCTCTCCCTGCCCCTAAACCACCACCCTGAGTAAATTTCATTTCTTTTAAATAGTTGCATTAACGGCTTGGCAGCATTAACGATACTTATCCACACATGCTCATCAGATCTCCTCACGAGGTTAATGTAAGATAACTCTCATAATAAAAAAGGGTAAATAGGTTATATCATTCTTCCCCAGTTTAAGATACCTGACTTTTCACATTAATGACACTCCTGATTAAGCTGAGTAGAATTACGGGACGTTAAAAAATAAGTGTTTTCTTCTATACATGTACGGAACCCTCAAATGGTTAGTTCTCAATAACAATCTACTACAATTTCAAAAGAAGAGCCGGAGGGTACAATCTAGTGGTCAGTTGTCCTGAGCAGGTGTCACTGAAGTGAGTGGGATTTGCACAAAGGCATCAGGCAGTTTGCAAAGGGAACCCTGATTACCGAAGCAAGAATGCATCACCGACCCAGAAGAAAATCAGCTATTAACACCAGTGTATTGAACAGGCAACTTGGGCCCTTCACAGCATGGTTTCCCTACGCAAATGCCTCTTCTTATGTTGGGGGGGGGGGAGGAGTGTGTGATTGACACAAACCTGTCGTCTTCTTTTTTACTGCTTACACAAGACATGAGGAATCATAGTTTTCCATCAACCGAACATGAAGCAAAAGACATTATTCTGTGCGGCAGCAATGGTAAAGTGTAAAGCAGCCTTAATTTAGATCAGATTCTTGACTATGTTTCTTTGACGAATCCAAGAAAAAGTCTGAAAATGCACCTGTCTTTTACCACTGAGGGCAACAGGAACAGAAACAGAATTGGTTTCTTTGGCTATCTGGCAGTGCAATTAAAAAAGAAAAAAAAGACTCCACTATCAAGTCATTTTAAGGTAACGGAAAAAGCATCTGTTTTTCCACATAACTCTGTAAAAGAAAAGGGCAGTTCAGGTTTTCATGCCACCGCCTCTTCTGCCAGGCATTTTTTCTTAAAACTATTCCCATCTTTCACATTAAAAGTTCCATGATAACAATAATTTCCCCATCGTTTAAAGAGGCTGCAGTTAATTTAGATACCAACATTAGTAAAACGTACCAATATGGGGTTCCTGATCCAGGGAAGCCGGAGGGCAGTAGCAAGCTCTGGGTCTTCTCCTTTGCTCTCTGACCTCTTTTTTCCCCCTTCCATCTGAAAGGCAGTTATTCATTCCAGAAGTGATTACCTGTCAGTTGCAGCCAGCAGAGGAGAGGAGGAGGAAAGGCAGTGCCTGGACAACACGATCACCAGAAAGGTGATCCCTGCTGTTGGAACTGCAAGGCCACCTAAGTACTGGATGTGGCCCACCACCACCACCCTGGCAATCTTTTGCCCGCCAATTAAAACTGTTTACCTAAAGAATCAGGGTGATTACAGATGAATGCAATGTAGACAAAGACATCATCTGAGTTCATCTAGCCAGTAATTGTTGTAGAGATTTGCATTGTGTATTCTATGTAAAAGAGGCATCCGGATTTGAAAATGCACTCTTTAAAAATTCACTGTATGTGAAGGATTTTTAAAAAAAACTATTTCACACTCCTGTTTACGTAGTTCTTGGCATGCAACCTGCAGCTATCCTAAAAATGCCGAGGAATTAAGAAAAACAACCCACAAACATATTTCAAAGGGCACTTGCATTTCAACTGTGAGAGAAGAAAGGCGTACATGGATGGCATCCTTTTTCTTGATGAAAACAAATTTTTAAAACATGCCAATACTGTTTTGCTTGTTACGGGGGCACTGAATCCCAAGGGAAAGATTCAACCCTCTTAAGTTTATAACCGGTATCATCATCATAGTTTGCTGTTCCAAAACGTGTCTAAAAACATCTTGAAGTTAATCACCACCTACCCCCGGCAACAAATTCATGCATTTAAAAACCCGTCTGAAATAGGCTGCTGTGGCCGTAACGAAGAAAGATTTTCCCCAGTGAAACTGCATGAACTACCCTTCCTGACATGAGTAAGCCGTCGGTGCTTTAGCAGCAGCACGGCCAGGAATTCCGTAGACAAGACTCTTTTCACCAGGGCAGTTGCTGTGATGGGAGAGGCTGCTATTTAACAAGACTGCTATCGGCAGAGCTGCTGATGGCTCAAGAACTGCCTTGAGCTGGCAGACCCGCTATGTAGTGACTCTGCCAATCTGCTGGTGTCTTCTCTAGAAGAGCGCATGATTTTTTATTGCAAGGTGGAGAATTTCTCCTCCTGAAGAATTTGAGACAACAATCCCAAGCCGGTGGCTCCTCTGGTGGCCCATGTCGGAGACCTAATTCATAGAGCTCCAAAGGAGAAGATGCTTCCCTGGGCATTCCAATGCTGAGAGCAGTTGTGTGTGAATATCCTAGCTGCGTAGCACGGGACAGATCCCAACGCTGAAGTGAATACGGACGCTTCTGCTTACAAGGAGCTCTAACTCACAGGGAGTCTACAGAGGTTACGACCAGGGCGAGTTTAGCAAATAATCTACCCTGGTCACAATAACTCGATCATTTAAAAATCCCTCACTTCCACAGGCAGCGCAGGCACCTGGAATGGGTCTCTGTTACTTAAAGGATTTCTTTTGCACCACTATGAGAACAGGGAAAGGGACCCACGGTATAAATAACAGTCAGGCCCTGTTACTGGACCTAGTGGGTCACTTCGTTTCTCCAGCTTCCAGTTGCTTCAGTGTCTTTGAAATAATCTTGGAAGCATAAAAGAGAGTTACTTGCCTTTCAGAGGCATACACAGAACAGGAAGAATAAAAAAGTGCAGAGCCGGGGATCTCATGAATATTCTCTCTATCAGGTAAGAAGAACTGGAGCCAGAACTTCCCTTTGAAAGTTCACTTCTTGTACAGAAGGACTATAAAGGCCATGGACTTTCTGACAGCGAAAGGCCTGCCCAATACTTCCCTTTACAAAAAACTAAACACAGAAGTCCCATTCACCTGGGCAGGGGGAACATGCTGACAAACACACCATCTAAAAACAAATTAAAACGTTAATAGCAAAGATGGTTCTCTGAAGAGTAGGAGAGTAACCCTAATATACTCGGAAGCTGCCCGTGTGTCTCCGTACTCTCAGATTTCACGGTCCTCTTCACAACACCCTTTTACTTCAGCGTGACCTTCAAGCAGCCTGGCTTTATTTCTGTGAACCTGCAAATCGAGGGGAGATGCAACTTCAGAGGTAACATAATGAATCAATTACTAGCTTTACATTTATTTATTAAGGGAGTCCATGTGCCGCTTTTCCGTTTGAATGAATTCCCGAGGCCACTAATGAAACACAAAATACAGCACGAGCAATATCCAGAAATACAGTCCCATTAAACCCAAGGTAATGAACAAGCTCCTTCAAAGGCCCCTCGGAAGAAATGTGTCTCCAGATTTTCCAGAAAACTTGCACCTCACAGAGGAGCAAGTTTCATAGCCCAGGGGTGACGGCCGAGAAAACTCTTCCCACAGTCCTCGCCCACCAAATGTCTGAAAGGAACAGGCTCCTGAAGCAGGTGCCTTCCTCCCCCTTTATCAGGACCTTGCTGGCTGCTAGGCTGGGAAAAAGTCCTTCAAGTGCATTAAACCTAACCAGTTGAGGGCTTTAAAGGTCAAAACTTTGAACTGGGCCCACAAACAGTTGATAAAATACTTTTTTTTTTTGAGCCCCCAGAGGGGATTTTTTAATTATTTTTTTGTCACTAAAAAAACTACAACAGAAAAAAAGGGGAGGGGAAACTACATATACGGGAGAAAGTAAAGAACCCACTACTAACTAAAACCCCAAGAGAGGAGATCCTCCAACTAGCTTAGATACATTGAGTCTTCTCATCATTGATCCCTTTATAAACTGAGTCAAACATTTATAGCACTTTTTCTAACAGCTGATAAAATACTGAGGTTCAGTGCAGAGGCCTCCTGTTAAAACTTTGGCCACAACGTTTTGTACTAACTGAAGTTTCTGGACCATCTTCAAAAGCAGACTCATGTGAAGGAGGAGGAGGAGGAGGAGGAGGAGATTGGATTTATACCCCGCCCTTCACCACCCAAAGGTGTCTCAGAGTGCTTTACAAACTCCTTTCCCTTCCCCTCCCCACAACAGACACCCTGTGAGGTGGGTGGGGCTGAGAGAGCTCTGACAGAAACTGCTTTTTCAAGGACAGCTGTGCCAGAACTATGGCTTGCCCAAGGTCATCCAGCCAGGTGCAAGTGGAGGAGTGGGGAATCAAACCCGGTCCCTCCCAGATTAGAGTCCGCGCACTTAACCACTACACCAAACTGGCTCTCATTGCACATTGCAGCAATCTAACCTGAATGTTACCAAGGCACCGGCGATAGTGGGCCAGGTCACCTTTCCCCAGGAACGGCTGCAGCTGGCAAACCAACCTAAGCTGGTAAAGAAGCACTCATAGCCACCTCTGCCTCTGTTTTATCAACGGACAAAAAGGAGTCCAGGATTATCTACCACCTCCCAGCCTGATCCTCCAAGGAGAATACAACCTTGTTCTAGACACTGTACATCTGTTCTTTAAACTTTACACTCAGCTTTACTCCTTGATCCACAACACTTCCCAAGTTGATTTTTTCATCCAGCCCAGGCTGGAAGGGAGAGGGGGTATATAAATACATTTACTAGGCCTAATAAACATAGGAGTATCTACTATCTTGCAAGCTTGTTCTACATACTCAAGGGTGCTTCAGGGTTATGTTTGCTGGAAGAAGGGAATCTTCCCCCTCTCCCCATGCCATGCAACAAATTGCCTTTGCAAACCAATGGAACTCTGAAAAGCAAATTACAGCGTGGTAGTCTATGAAGTCTGAAGATGAAAGGAAAAAATGTACTGGCCCTTAAGCGCACCTAATGTGTTCTGGCCATCATGGATCCTGGCCATCAAATGAAAAAGCTGTGCTTTATGATATGTGAAGAGATGCTTTTGAAAGTGAAAAGACAGGAACATGCCAGAGTATAAGATGGGGTTTGAGGTAACCTAACAGCTGCAAGAGAAGAAAAAAATTACGCAGTTCACACTCTGTATATAGATCCATGCCCAGATTCACCAAGCCTTCCATCTCTCCTTTGTTATTTCCCCAGTAGCTTTACCGTAGGAGCCTTCGGGGTAAGGCGGGGTATAAATTTAAATATAAATAAATATAAATACCGTAACTCATTCTCAACTGTCTGTTCTCCCTTGTTTCCATCTTTTCCTTGCAGGTGAAAAACTAGTAAAACTGAACAATGGCTATCGCTGTATTAAGATGGTATCGCTGGGATGCCCGAAGGGTTACCTCTCAGTGAAGCTCTAGGCTTCTATACAGAAGTTTCACAGAAAACAGGGGTGGTATCCTGTAGGCCTAGCGATGTGTGCAAACAGCTTTGTAACATTCATCCAGACCCTCCACCAGTGTTCCCTCTAAGCTGAGTTGGTGTGAGCTAGCTCACCGTTTTTTTAGCCTCCGGCTCACCCATTTTTGTCTTCGCTCAGGAAGGAGGGCTCCAGAGCAAACTAATTTATGTAGAAGCCAAATAGCTCTCTCACCACTTTAATGCCAGGAGCTCACAAAGTAGAATTTTTGCTCACAAGACTCCACAGCTTAGAGGGAGCACTGCCCTCCACTACGTCTTTCAGAAGTAACCAACCACCAGTTGTTGTTGTTGTTTTTTTTAAAAAAAATCATAAATGGGGCATTATTTAGCTCACCTGAATTTGTGGCTTCCCAGATACTTAATGACTGCTGGTCTGATGCGAGCGACACCTCCCAGGCTATGGTTTCCCTTTCCTGTGATCACGTAGAGATATGGTTTACCACCAGCTTGGCTGCATTCTGTAACACAGGTATGACAAGGGTCACAGCGTTCTCTTTTCACACACGTTTTTTTTTAACGTAACGGTAAAACAAAAAACACATCAGTAAGTGAAGTGATCTCCACTTCTTTATCTGAATGTATGAAATTGCCTTATAGTGATTCCATTTATTAGCGAGTCCAGCCCAGTAATGTCTACTGTGAGCAGCACTCGCTTGCCAGAGTTTGCCCCAGTCCTGTTATCCGTGGAGCCCTTTCACTGGAGCTGCCAGAGACTGAACTTGGGACCTTCCATATACAAAGCATCTTCTTCATTTGCCGAGCTATAGCCCCTACCCACAGGCAACAAGACCTGTTTTTTTCCAGTGGCCGGGGGGTGGGGGGGGGGGGCACACACAGAATCCATGGAAGTTTAATATATCCACTGTAGTCCATGTAAGTAAAGGTAAAGGTTCCCTTGCTCGAAAGCCAGTCGAATCCGACTCTAGGGTTGCGGTGCTCATCTCCGTTTCAAAGCCGAAGAGCCAGCGCTGTCCGAAGACATTTCCGTGGTCATGTGGCCGGCATGACTAAACACCAGGGCGCACGGAACGCTGTTACCTTCCCACTGAAGTGGTACCTATTTATCTACTTGCAATTTCTTGCTTTCGAACTGCTAGGTTGGCAGGAGGTAGTCCATGTAGGCAAGTCCAAAAGAGCAAGCTGTTTTATGAAGATATTTTTTTTTCGTACCTTCTGTCTTCTCCTGCAACACTCTGGACAGATGGTCCAAAGCTTCATCCACATGAAGGCCATGAAGATCCAAAAGGTTTTCAGGCAGCGAGGAGGCGTTCACCGTCTCAAAGATCTGCACGGCAGCATCGTGGTTCGCTTCTTTCATCTTCTGCTCATGCAGGCGGCCCTTTATTCAAAACACACAGCAGCTGTCAAATCACAACAGGGGGCAACCTAAGCGCTGCACTGAACATCAGGGCTCAAGATATGACCCCACATGAGCAGGGAGCTGTTGTGTCCCCTGCCTCAAGGAGAATGAGCTGTATGGCTGGAATACATTTGTATCAGCAGATCAAGCGAGGCCCTGATCAAACAAGGTTCGGGATAAGGTAAATGAGACTGTGCAAAGCAGGAATAGAGGGTAAAGATCATGCAGCCTCTAAATGAGCACAAGGATTGTTGCCACAGAACAATGAAACTCTGCCTTCCAGTGTTAAGAGAAGCATCCACAAGAGTGGTTTAAAAATACAATGCCTTGCGTAACAGCGCATGATAAAGGCCGGGGTATATACTCCCCTCAAGCGTGCCCAATTGCACTCTGTGCCTGTGATTCTCCAACAGCAGCCCCACGGCATGCCTCTTTCACTAATGAAGTGATGTTCATCATAGGGCAGTGGTGGCGAACCTATGGCACGGGTGCCAGAAGTGGCACTCAGAGCCCTCTCTGTGGGCACACGTGCCATCGCCCCAGCCAGGTCCAGACCATCATTAAAGTGTCGAATTCTCTGCCAAATAATTTTAAATAAATGAAAGCATTTGGGATTGCTTTCCTTACTTTGTTTGGATCATCTTAAGTTAATGCATGAGTTGTTTTTTCTAAAGTAAAACCTCAGTATTCAGGTTAAACTGCCGTGTTGGCACTTTGCGATAAATAAGTGGGTTTTGGGTCGCAGTTTGGGCATGCGGTCTCTAAAAGGTTCGCCATCACTGTCATAGGGGATGGGAAGACTGCCTTTCAGTGGGAAAAGTCGGACATTCTTCTGGGCATGCCCCAACCTCTCGGGTGCATCCAATGTAGGCTAGTGGTTGTAACTAGTAAACCATTATATATTGGCTTACATTAATTCCCTTACAAGCTATCTAGATGGTAGCTTGCGGAGCTTTAATTAGCTACAGTAGCTCTGCACTGGGCCTACCAAAGACAGAGCTCTTCCCAGCTGGACTTGCTCATTGAAGAAAGGTACACTTGTTCTGCCTAGTCCCTGGGTCAATGCAGGGGAAAGCCTTCAGACATCTTGATATACTCTGGATGGCTTGTGGGAAAACTTCCTCAATACTGATTTCTGTACATAGCCCATATGGAGACCTCATGAAGATGAACAACTCACTCAAGTCATACTTGATTTGTGGCTCTCTAGTACTGATACATCTGCAGGCTTCTGTGACTATCAAAAGCCATCTAGGTGGGTTATGGGAACCACAAAAGACTCCCCATTTCCATTACAGAAACTAATAAAACAATTTACCCGTTGTACATAAAATGCTGCTACAGGCTTCATTCCCATGCGATAGGCCTCCCCAGCTTTTCTCAGACACTCATGCCATTCCTTCTGGTGAAGAAAAGCCTCTGCCCTGAAGTCATCGTATCCGGGGTATCTGAAGTCCTGGAATTTCTTGTCAGAGAGGATGTCATCTGACTCCTTGCACTTTTTGGCCTGTGATTCAAGACAGTTATGCTCAGACCACAATCAAATGCTGGAAGTCACTTTAGGTCTCCACCGTGGAGAAAAGTGAGGTAAAAATGAACAGACTCTCACTAAATGAAACCATCTCCTGGGTGCTCATTTCAAAATAGCCACGGGGAAGAAACCAAACCTACAATAACCAAGATAAACCTTTCCTAGGTATTAATATTAATATTATTAGCTTCATTTATACTCCACATTTCTTACTCGGACTCCGGGTGGACACCAAATGACATAAGAACTGTTCGGCCAATCAGCAAGCAAATTACAAAGACGACCGATTCCCCACAAGCATCTGTTCCACTGTCGCTCTTCCTACCCCGTCCCCCCCATCGTATTGGTCAATTTCACACATTTTGACCTGCACCTCCCCCCAATTTCCCCGTCTTCTCGATCCTGTTTTTTGAGGATCAAGAAGATGCGGAGGAATTCGGGGGGAGATGTGGGTCAAAATACGGCCACACAGTGAATAGTGTGAAATTGACCAATACGACCAGGGGAAACAGAAGAGCGACGGCAGCACAGCTGCTTGTGAGGAATTGGTCAAAGTATGATAAAAAGATCTGACTGTAACAGCAAAGACTCCTAGTAAAACAGCACACACGTGCACGCGCACAAAAAAAGAATAATGGTGTAGGGCTGGGCAGGGCTGGAAGGATTTACGGGCATCAGAAAGACTATTTGGTCAATCAGCAAGCAGAGTACAAAATATGATCGAATAATTCAGTCGAACAACAAATGTTTTTAATAACACAAGATAATACAGCGGAACTGGGACTGAAGAATTGGAAAAACAACACAGGTAAACAAAAAACCATCTAGGCAATCAAACAGTCAATGCAGGTAACATTTGTTGTGTATATAAAACAATGCAATTTTAGCAAGATTCTTATCAAAACAAAATCATGCAACTGGGCTGGGAACTAAAGAACTGTTGTTTAAGACAACATAACCAGAGGATCTGTCTGTCACTAAAACACTAAGATTATGTATTTGTAATGAGTTTGCAGAAGGGCCATTACCTTTTTCTCTCGGCTCTTCAAAACACCGTAAGAAGAGAGAGCTGTACCCTGAGCTGTTTCTTTGGCTACAACTGTTTTTACTGGGTCTGCCTCCAGGACACAGTTCAGAAACTGGACCGTTTGTTCCAAAGAATAACTACAGCAAATAAAAAGCAAACAAAGTACACTGAATAATTCTGGACGTATTATCATCAAATGAAAAAGAAACATCCTGCTATAACAAGAGAGAGAGAAAGAGGGAGGGAGAGACCAAATTGTTGATCTTTCTTACTTTATACAGCAATGTAGTTTGCAAACAATGCATTCACAATAAGGCAAGGGCTACAAAACCAGGCCACTGCCTCTTCTGCCAATATGCCTTTACTGGTTAGACTTTTAACACCTTTTCCCACAAAGTGATCTGGAGCGGAGAGGTAATCCCAAGGCCCATCTCTGGTCCAGAGTAATTATCCCATCGCACTCCACACTATAGCAATGCCTTAACTCAATGGAAACACTAAAGATGGTCAAGCAGTGCAGAATGTGTGCATGACTGTCACTGGAAACATCTGGGGAGAACTAAGGATAGGTCTATAAAGGAACGCATGCTTTTTTGAAGTTATGTCCAGTAATACTTTGGGAGGAAAGAAGCCACAGCAAGCAGCCTTTGGTGGAAAGACTCTATTTCTGTTCCACCGATAATGCATCATGCTACAAGATATTAACAACTTACAAAAAGCAGAGCTTACTTGTAGTCCTTGAAGATGTCCATTAAGAAGTTTGGGCTAATGGTTGGGAACATCTCCAGTAGTTGCTTCTCCTTCAGGATGGCAGCACAGTCTTTTGTAGCCATGAAGGGAAAACGTTGCTAATCCAGAGAACAAGGTATTCATTATAATTACATACCAAATAAGTCTTTTCTAGAAGAATATTGTAGCTGAATTGTAACCAGAAAAAAACAAGTCACAGTTTTCTGCGTTCTTGCTATTTGTTTCAGATAATCTGTGGTTGGCAATACTGTTCATAAAGAAACACTGGAGAACAAAAAGACTGCATGCAGAACTGTCTTCAAGACATTTTTGGAAACTTATACCTTAGATCTACTGAAACCAAGGGATGTTCTAACTCCAGGTATATTGTACAACATTTTAATGATTTTGGGAAATATAAATAAGAACATAAGAAGAGCCCTGCTGGATCAGATCAATGGTCCATCTAGTCTAGCACCCTCTCTCACACAGTGGCCGACCAGTTCCTCTGAAGGTCCAACAACAAGGCACAGAGGCCGAGGCCTTCCCCTGATACTTTCTCCTAGCTCTGGGATTCAGAAGTTGACTGCTTCTGAACGTGGAGGTTCCCCTCAGCCACCATGGTTAGTAACCATTGATAGACTTATCCTCCATGAGTCTATCTAATCTCCTTTTAAAGCTGTTTATTCCTGTGACCATCACTACTACAATAAAGATGATAACTGTGAACTGAAGTAAAATAGAAAGGGATAAACCTAAATGTCCCATAAGAGAGATAAAACAGTATTTCTAGTTATTGCTGACCGTGCAATCCCCAGCAGAGTTACACCCTTCTAAGCTCATTGACTTCAATAGACCTAGAAAGGTGCAACTCTGCTTAGGAATCCCTGTTAAAATGTAGGGATGGGTACGAACCAGTTCATGAACCAAAATTCATCACAAATTTGGCCCAGTTTGTGGCCCCTGAGTCGATGTTCCACTTGGAAGTGGGGGGGGGGGGGGGAGCGAAATGGATCGCTGAATTGGCTTGCAGACATTTAAACCTAACAGTGGGGCAAATGTGCCTGTCCACTGTTAGGCTGACAGAGCTGCGAGCCACTTTAGTGATCCATTTTGCTCCCCCCCACACACTTGGAAGTGAGGAGGGAGTGAAACAGACAGGTTTAATGGCTTGCAGCCATTTAACCCTAACAGGGGGTGGGTGTGCCTGTCCGCTGTTAGGCTGACATGACGGCAAGCCAATTCAGCGATCCGTTTCACTCCCCCCTGCTGCGCTAAATGGATCGCTGAATTGGCTTGCAGCCATTTAAACCTAACAGGGGGAAAGATGCCCCCGTCTGCTGTTAAGCTGACATGGCTACAAGCCAATTCACTGATCTGTTTTGCTCCTCCCCGCTGGAAAGCTGCCAGCCATTTAACCCTTCCTGGGTGATCCTCTGGGGAAAAGGTGCATCCAAACCGGCCAGTTCAGAGATTTTGGGCTTGTTTTGGGACTGCCCCAAACTCAACTGCATTTTTCTGGTTCGTGCCCATCCCTATTAATATGTAAAGTTACCAGTGAACCACATCCTTAGCTATCAAGAATATGCAAGATTTTAAAAAACCATGAAAATGAAACCTTACACTAACTCAAATTCACTGTTAAAAACAATTTTGGGACAAATTCTGAAATACAGTATATTTGAATTTAACTGTGTCCTGGAAAGATACCTACCAGAGGGCAAACTAACAGCAGAGTAAAAACTCTGATGAAAATGAATGAAATAAAATACTAAATACTTTCCTAGTGTCTAGCTGGGATATTTGTACACTGCATTCTCTTTATATAACAATGGTAATAGTCTTATTCTGCTCATGTATGAAAAAGTTGACTAATCACAACTTGATTGTTTAAAAACAGGCAGAACGTTTCTTAAATCAGCATAAATTAATATTTAAAATCAAATGAAGAGAAGAAGAGATTGGATTTAAACCCCGCTCTTCACTACCCAAAGAAGTCTCAGAGCAGTTTACAATTTCCCTTCTCTTCCTCTCCCCACAACAGACACCCTGTGAAGTGAGAGAGCTGAGAGAGCTCTCTTGAGAACTGGCCGTGAGAGAATAGCTCTGAGAGAACTTGTAACTGACCCAAGGTCACACCAGCAGCTGCATCTGGAGGAGTGGGGAATCAAAACCCGGTTCTCCCAGATTACAGTCTGTGCTCCTAACCACTACACCAAACTGGCTCTCAACACACAAAAAAAGCATACAATGTTATCAAGATACGTACCAATAAATACAGCTATAAAAAGTCTATAGGGATCTCTTTAGCTAACACAGTATATTCAGCAAAATTATGATTTGAAAAAGTAAACCAATATCTGTATTTATAAACTTAGAAGCCTTCTTTAAAATAAGCACTCAAACTGAAAGTTCCTCAATTATTATTTGGGAAGCAGCTAAACATACTTTAGAGGGATAAGCTTTGCCTTGTATCTCAATAAAATTAAGAGAGAAAGAGAGGAGTGATTGTCTTCAAAAAAAATCCCTCTCTAGAACGTCAGTATAAAGAAAATCAACAAGAAAGCCTTTTGAAGGAAATCTAGATGGAGAAGAATAAACTTGACTAAATTGATATGATCTCTCTCCATAAAAAGATGCTTTATATAAAACAAAGATTCTTTGAAAATGCTGATAAAGCTGGAAAATTATTAGTGGCAAGATTAAAAAAGAAGCAAGCTAAAGAAGAAGAAAGTAAAATGATAAAAACAACCACTATAAATCTCCATGCCAGAGATTTCACAAGCAAACACAGGGAACTCTACATTTAGCCTTTAGCTAAATGAGATCGTTAAGCCCAATCACACTCTGCATTTTAGCTTTACGAAAGAACCAGAACTATGCTCCTGTGCCCTTCTTTCAATTTACAAGTTCTGATTCCTTCCCTACAAGTTTACTACTGTATATTACAGGTACAAGCACAACGCTATGCTTAGGCTTGGGCAATGGGACCATATTTACAACCCTTAAAGTCCTGACCAGCTATGCTGCTCTGAGATTACCCTTGGTCCTGCACCAGGGGGGTTTATTCTTCCTTTTCTTTTGTACCCTTAGAAGCTCATTGACTCACGAATCTTGAGCAGCAGAAAACATGTATTTCTTATTTTTTAGATGCAGGAGCTAAAAGGACTGAGACAAATTTTGCAATTGCCAGAGTGATCTTGGGTTCCTTGTCACTGAACAAAAGAGCCAGGGTTTCCGGAGTACAGGGGGACAATTGGTTGAATAAAGGCTTAATATAGTAAAATCCCTCATCATCTCAAAGAATCTGCATTCCAGCAGGGCATGAAAAGATGTATCCATCCACGAGGGCAAACTCTGCCAGTGTAGGGCCTATTCAAAAAATCTCCCTTGCGAAACCATTGTAAGGTATAATGTTCAGTCTTATGAACAAAAAGGCTCTGCAGTGAGGTGGGATGGTAAGTAGGGGGTTTATTGTGTGCAATTACTGCTGTTGGAGAAATGCTGGGGGGGGGATGCACTCACTCTGGAAACTGCAAAGGGGGTGAGTTTATGCATTGGGGGGTGCAGTAATTGATCCCATGCTCTGCTACCATTGCACACTGCAGTTCAGCATAGGATGACAGACATCTTTAATAAGTAATATTCATACCAGTTCCTGTTTTTCTTGTAAAGCTATTTCTTCAGACATTATGTCCCGGAGCGAAACTTTCTGTGTCTGGACATTCCAGTGATCCATGAAGGGGAAAAATTCTGAAACGGCCATGCTTTCTGCAGATGGGCAAGAGGCTAAGGAAGCAGTTTTTTGTACTTGATGGTTTGTATGCTGAGGAAAGACATTGTCCGTATCCCGTAGACAGAACTGCTCAAACTGTGTAGGATCTTCAGAAGTAAGAAAAAGGGAAGGCAATTAAGAATTAAACAGAACAATTATGTGAAAGAAGGTTTTAAAAAAACAATTCAAATGCATTTCATTTTCTTGACCTCAATGAAGAGCAGAGACATACCCAATCGATCCATTGCAACTGGTATAATGTAACAACTCTACAGATATGGTATAATTTAAATATTTTGCAGCATTGCACTGATGCAGAATTAACATGCTTCATCATGAGGATAGAAATGATTAAGAAATGGAGTTAGGACCTGGACAACTTAACAAAAATGATGAAAGACATTCACTGATCTTCAGATTTTCAGGCTTTGATTCCACAGTTAATTTACCCAGCAATACAGGACCAACATTTACTTTTTAGCCTATACCTCAGGCTCTCTTTGTTTCTCTCCTCCTCTTCTCTCCCTTACTCTCACCTTCTTGGTCTCTCTCCCCCACCCTGCCCATCTTTATTCTTCTTCTTTCTTTTTTTTACTGTTTTAATAGTGGTATAGTCTGGTGAGGCCTCTTTTAAAATCAGGCCAGGACACACTAATTTGAACACCAGCACTTTGAAGTGATTCTACATTGAGGGAGATTTAATTTGGCATTGGTAAAATTTGGACTGGAAACTTTTTGATGTAAGGAGCCCAACTTTGTACTCATCCAATTGTGGAGAGCACCTATGAATACTGAGATCAATCAGGGCTATTTTTTGGGCAGGAACGCACAGGAACGGCGTTCCGGCTGGCTTCCGAGTTGGCCATGCCCAGCAGGAACGCATTAGCATAATAGGCCACACCCAACAGCAGAAACTCATTAGGATTGGCTACATTAGGGGGGTGTGCTACAAAAAAAGCCCTGGGTTTGGAGAACAAACAAGGTAAACAGAATAAGAAGCAAAAGGTGGGTGTGGCTGGATGAGCACACTTCTGGTAACATGGGGGTGTGGCCTAATATGCCAATGAGCTGTGCTGTCAGGGGTGTGGCCTAATATGCTAATGAGTTCTTGCTGTTGGGTGTAGCCTATTATGCTAATGAGTTCCTGCTGGGCTTTTTCTACAAAAAGAGCCCTGGAGATCATTATTATGAAATTGCTATGAAGGAGCGCACTGTTCACTGGAGGACACCCAGTTCTGAATCCCTACTTGGCCATGAAGTTGATGGAGTGACCTTGGGGCAGTCTCTCTCTCTCTCTCAGCCTAACTAGCATCACAAACTGGATGCTGCCAGGATAAAAAGAAGGAGGGGAGAACAGTATTGTAAGCCACTTTGGTTACTCACAGGGCAGTTATAAGGAATACACACAGACATAATCATGCTACCCAGCTGTGTCCAGGGCTAGCGTTCAGTAAGGAAATGAACTCACTTTCTCCAAATGCACAACATTCTGAACAAGGCAAAGGCCAGCGTGGCGAAGGAAAATATAGGCTTACCTTCAACAAGCAGCTTATGCAATTCTTCTCTTTTCTGACGCTTCTAAATTAAAACAAGTTAATGGATGATATACATGCTTTAATTTCAAAGCACTTCCTAGTTTTAAGAAAACAACAGTGCAATCCTAAACAGAGTTGCACCATTTGGTGTCCATTTAATTACAATGGACTTAGAAGGATATAATTCTGTTTAGGATTGCACTGTAAGATGAGTAACATTTATTTGCATCGGTGATTCTTCACAGAGGCCACAAGGCCTCCAGGGATGCTCTGCGGCATGACTTTTATTGCCTTCAAGAAGAACCGAACAAAGAATAATTCTGACAGAGCCATCCTTCACAGAGTTACACCCTTCTATAAGCCAAGTGACTTAGAAGGGTGCAGTCGTACTTAGGATGGCATGGCAAATATATCTATGTGGAAGTTAGCCTTAGGGTTAACATTTACTTTCTTCAGTATAGTCTCTCCAAGTACAATCATACTCCTGTTGAAACCAGCTGGAAAATTCCCACTGATTTTAATGAAGCTGACCTTGCCATATATGTGCCAAATCATCCCTCAATTTGCCCACAAGGTTCTAAGCCACGGGTGTCGAACTCAGTTGTTATGAGGGCCAGATCTGACATAAATGAAACCTTGTTGGGCCGGGCCATGTGTGTCATAAAATGTAATGCCAGGCAGCAAAGATATAAACTTTATAAAGGACACAAACACAAATTTAAAAAAAACACAAAACCTTAAAATAAAACATTAGCTCTGTAAGCTGCAAACCTACTTTTGATTTATTGACATTCACCACAGAAACCTCATGCTCAGAGTTCTGAGTCTAGGACCCAGGTTAAAACATGAAATGGCTGAGCGATTAAGAGAGTCTGGCGAAGCAAGCTATGATGCAGCTGCAGCAGCAGCAGCAGAACTGGAAGCAGGAGATGGCCAGTTCCACTGAGGGCCTGATGGCAGCCCTCCGGGGGCCTGATATGGCCCCCGGGCCACATGCTTGACACCCCCTGTTCTAAGCCATTGTTAAGTATCTGATTTTAGTTTTTATTACCACTTTTTCCATACATCCCAATATTTCATTTGAAATCTACATCTAACCATTCCTTCCAATAAATGAAAAATATCAAACTCATAACTTCTAATCCAACACGCACACACAGAGCTTCAAGAAACTCTAGATGTCCTACTGCTATATAGATACTGTACTAGCCCCCTCTTTCAAAGTGAGTTAGCATTGTGGGTTGCATATATTTAAAAAAGAGAGATTTGTTTTGACGCTGGAGTGCTCTAGATGTGAAAGTGATGTGTGTCCTATATATAATTTCATAAATGATGGAACGTTAAGCATATAGCTATTGCTGCAAACTAACAAGGACCGTATCTAAACAAAATGATAGTATAGCCATGCCATAAGAAATGTCTTACCATAATAGATGCTTTCCATTTTTCATGAATTTCTTTGGCCAAATTCAGATCAATATGAACTACATAATCTTCATTAGTTAACAGCTCTTATGGAAGAAAGAACACATTTAGGCAAAGCACTAAACTAACTAAACTTAGTCCATGCTGACCCCCCCCCCCCAAAAAAAATAATAATAATCAGGCAAGCACTTGTAAGATGAAGAAACAACCACGGCCTGAAACAACTAATCAGGAGCATTCTCTAAAACAGACATAACAATGCTTTCGAATCAACTCAGTTCGTGAGTCAGATCTCTAGTGCAGAATAAGCAAAGTAAATTAACTCAAAGCAGCATTAAAAAAACCCAGTTATTTGAAATAATATATAATCCAGTTCCCAAATAAAGGGATACAAAGACGGAAGGGTAGAGCTTTTCAGTTAAGGATCAGCTCAACTGTTTATGATATTGGTTGACCTCTGTGAGACAAAGTAAAACAGGCTGCAGTTTGGGACACCCAATAGTGGGAATCAAGGGACAGGCTTTGCCCCTACTTGAACCAAGGTGCCATTTTACTTTCTCCCATATAAGTGAATAGCGGCCAAAATGCTGACATCGCAGTATCACACAATAAGGAAGATGGTATCATCACAGTGCCTTCAATATACACGATGCTTTAGAAATTTGGGACCCAGGCCACATGTAAGTAGCTTCCATACAAGTCAACAGATGCTGCCATTCACTCACAGGGAAAAAACCCACGATGCACTTGGATAAAACACTGCAGTAGAAGCAAAGTCTGCCTACCTAACCCCTAATACAGCACAGCCTTGCCTCTGCCAATATGGTTCAGGATGTTCACATCCAATCAGTCTCTTTTTTTCCAGTATCACTGTATCAAACAGCAAAGTGGTTGGCCCCCATGTAGATCGTGAAAAAGCGGCTTGCCCAGTCCTCCTACAGAGAAGGTAAAGGGTAGGCATTTTGCAAGTTAACCAAAGGGAACAAACACACACAGTGAGAACTAGATTGAATGCAGAACTGGACTGATGAAGACTGAATATGTTCCAGAAGCACAGGCTACAGATAGCCGGGGGGGGGGG